GCGTCTCCTCCCCAACAGCAGCTTCCGTCCTGGAGTCAACTTTTGAGCTCTGGCCTTGCTGCCTCCGTCTTCCACTTCCAAGGACCACTGCCTCCACCAGAATCGTGGCCTTACAGTGGGCCCGGGGACTGTGGGACTCTGGTTTCAACCTTTGGTCCTAGATCTGTATAACAGGAGGCCACACTGGTCCCTGCTCTCAGTGCTCTTCCTCAAAGCCGCTGTGTGGGTGCCAGTGGCACAGAGTGGCCCTGTGACTCTGTAGCACTCCACATACATGTTTAATATTTGAGGACCCGCTAGCTACTGGAGTGGGCAGGCCCGGGGTGGCAGTGTCGCTCAGTAACCCGTCAGGTGGCTACTGCATGTTTGAGGAGCCCTGGCCGCTCGAGTCGGCCTGAACCCAGGGCACTTACAGGATGAGGTGGTTATGCAGGTTCAGGCCATCTGGTTTACCCTTCCCTCTTTTGCTCGCTGCAGAAACAGAGGGATTACACTCTAGATGGGGAGTCGGGCAAGGTCTCCAATCGGCAGTACCTGCACAGGTAAGGGTGGTGTTCCTGTTCTTTCTAACGCTGGCTAATATGCCATAGGAACAGAAGTGTGTAGTACTGGTGCTAGTGATGGTATATCATAAACACTCAGCATGTGCGTGCGCCCAGAGAAGGGGTCCTGGAGGCGCAGTGGTTAAAGTACTTGCCTGCGAACGGAAAAGCGGAGCCACTGTGAGAACGCCGTGGCACTCGGCTTCGCTAGGTACGGCCCGGGATACCCTGGGGCAGCTCTACGCGCCTTGCTGGGTCCTTCTGAGTCGGCCTGCGCCTGGTGACACAAGGCTAACTGTGGGGGTTTGTATGGGCCCAGCCTGCGTTCCTGCCTGCATGGTCTTTTCCTGGACTCTGTCCACTGATCTCTGTATCTGTGTGTCTGTCCATCGGCTGGTGCGCAATGGCTGGATTGCATCGGTTCTTGATGGCAAGCAGTGTGTGTCCGCATCCTTGTCAGCCCCTGTTGCCCCCCCAGGGTCTCCTGAGGTCATCCTGGCACTGCCTGTCCACAGTCCATTCTCTCCTCTGGGCTCTTAAAAGTACTCGAGTTTCACGTTGGGGGTCACAAAAGAAGCCTGGGTCACTTTGGGGGGCGAGGTTGTGAGTGAAGTGGCTGCTGCTTGTCAGTCTCTTCTCCACGTGGCGGTGACACTGGATGTCTTGGCAACAGCTGGTCCTGTCACTGCACGAACACGGCCTCCTTCCGTAGGGCATGCAGGGCAGTGTGAATGGCCAGCGGCTGGCCTGCCAGGTGGCTCAGTGCATGGAGCCTTGAGCGAGACTATACCGTTGATGTCCCAGGAGGGGGCTGCCGTGTCTTGATGACAGCCACGGGTGTCAGACAGAGGGCCAGTCCAACCCTCACCAGACAAGTCCCGCCCCCGCCCCCAGTCCCAGCGAGGCCCAGGGAGTTTGCGTGGGGCGCTCTTTGCCATGGTGGTGCAGTGCTTAAGTGTGAGACTGCTAGCTGAAGGGTTGAGGTTCAGACACCCCCACCCTGCTGCACGGAAGAAAGAGGAGGCGTCTGCTCCGCTCTGTGAGTTGGAATCGACTTGATGGCAGGAGGTCAATGGGTGGGTGGGTGCCTTGGGCCCATTCTCCTGCCTCTGGATTTGGATTGATTGATTGATTGATTGATTTTTAATTGGAGGTTAGCCCATTGGGGTAAATGGATGGATCTGGAAGCTGAGTAGGAAAAGCTGGGAGGACCACGTTCAGAACTTGAGGGTCACTTTCACCCCCACCCCCTGTCCACGTCCATTGTGGAATCTGGAAGGACACTCCCTGAGCTGTGCCTCTTGGTTCCCCTGTCTCATCTTCACGGTGACTCAGCTTCTGCCAGAGGAGGATGGTGAGCTAGAGGCCTTGTGTCCTGTGGGAGCAGCTGGTCAAATCCTTGCCTTGTTTGCACCCCCAGCGCCGAAGGTCCCCACCTGGGGCTCAGCTAACTGGCAGGGCCCTGTGTGGCCCAGGTAGGGGTATGTGGTCTAGCGTGCGCAAACAGCCCTCTGCGGTTTCCTCGAGGAGGGGACACAGCTGTGCTGGAGCATGAGCTGCCCTTGTAGGGGGGCTGGGGGGTGGGGGGGCGCGGACTCCTGCCGTCCTCTGACACTCCTAACTCGGTGGCACTGACAAAAGGGCACAGGGGTGGAATTCACGCTGACATCAAACAGTGTGATGGGCTCTCTCACTGGTGCTCCACACCTTGCCACACTGCACAACAGTCAGAACCCAGGGGGTCCCGAAGCATGAGGCCCTGCTGGATGGCATGTCCCCTCCCACACGCTCCCCTCCCCAGCCCTGCCCCATCTCTAGAGGACTGGAATGCCCGCTCCCCCGAGCTTACCCAGAGCTGGCATCTGTTGCATTCCAGCTACCTGACTTTCATCAAGCTGTCGACAGCGATCAGACGCAACGAGAACATGGCCAAGGGGCTGCAGAGGGCCCTGCTGCAGCAGCAGCCTGAGGATGACAGCAAGCGCTCGCCCCGGCCCCAGGATCTGATCCGCCTCTACGACATCATTCTGCAGGTGGGCCGGAAGACAGGCTGCGAAGTGAGACTCAGTCGCACTTGGTGCCCACTGAGCTATCGGAGCCCAGGTGCAGCAGATCTTTGGAGGTGCCGCTACTAGCAAACCTGTCCGCCTGCTGTGCTTGGCACTGTGCCCATGTCACTTGCTCTTCTCAGTGCTCTGCAGCACCCAGAGACCAGAGCTCCCCTGAGTCTCGGCCTCTCGGGTGTGTCAGTCAGGAGGGTTTCTGAGGCACCCACATGAGTAAGACAGACGTGGGAACGGCAAGCCAGTGTGGGTCGAGGTCCGAGCCAGAAAGAAGCACCCCTTCCATTGGAGATGAGCTTTAAAGGAGGGCTAAGAGGAGCTGAGTCTTCCAGAGCAGAGGAGGGCACTGGAGTGGCACCCCGCAGCCATGCCACACGTCCGAGGACTTGCTGCCCTTACTCTGAGCTAAGGCTTGCTTTTGGCTCTTGCTTGTTCGTAGGAGGCCAGTGTGCGGCCTCCTGGTCATGAATCTGTGATGCCTCTGTTGTGCAGAATCTGGTGGAGTTGCTCCAGCTTCCGGGCCTGGAGGAGGACAAAGCCTTCCATAAAGAGATCGGGCTCAAGACCCTGGTCTACAAGGCTTACAGGTAGGCGGGGGCTGCACCCAGCATGGCAAGCGAGTCTCTGGGATCTGAGCCACTGGGATCTGACCACCCAGCCACTGGCAGTCAGAGAGCACACGCGTTGCTGGGCCCTGGCTCCTGGCTCTGGCTCCCTCCTCCCAGTGGAAATCCAGCAGGCATTGGAAAGAGAGTTTGTTGATGAGCAGAGATGCTGCTTCACCTCAACAGTGTGCCTGTCCCCAGCAACGTCGTTGGAGGGGTGGGTAGAGCAGCACTCAGACTGGGGCCGGGAAGTAACTTCCACCCAGAAGTGGCAACTTTGGATCTTTCCTGAACAAGGAGGACTTCGGTGTGTGTGTGTGGCATTGGGGGCTCCCATCTGCTCCTTACTTACAGAGTCGCAGGGCGTGAAGCCCAGGGCGGCGTAGTGGGCTCGCACTGCTGTGGCTTGGGCACAATCACAGGTTAAGAATAGGAGGGGGGTCTCTGGGCAGCACTCGTGGGTGAAGAAGCCCATGTCCTAGTTTAGCCTGGGCTGCACCGAGGCTGTGTTGGGAGGGCCTGTCACTTAAAGAGCTTTGTGGTGTCCTCTGTCCCCAAGGTGTTTTTTCATTGCTCAGTCCTACGTGCTGGTGAAGAAGTGGAGCGAAGCCCTAGTCTTGTACGACAGGGTCCTGAAATATGCAAATGAAGTGAGCTCAGATGCCGGGGCCTGCAAGAACAGCCTGCAGGTGAGAAGCGGTGCAGAAAGGGTCTGTTGGAGTCATGGGAGCATGGGCAGCCCTCCTCTGCACGTGCTCAGACCCCACCCGGGGCCTGCGGAATCAGAACCTACCTCTCCACACGACCCCGGGTGCAAAGCGGAGCACTGCCCTCCCAGTGGTCAAGGCCGTCATCTTTATTGCAGGCCAGCAGCGGCATCCCTATCTTGCAGAGCCGCAGGTGGGTTTGCAGCTGAACGCTTAACCGCTGTACCACTGGGGCTCCTGAGCGTCGTCATGGGCGATGAGATGCTTCTCTGTTCTGGCCCGATGGGCTGGGAATCGAGCTGGAGGCTGTGCAGCCTCCAGGCCTGGGCAGGCCTCCTGTTGTTATCCAGTGAGGAGCAGGGCCAGAGGGAATTGCCCTGGTTGTTGAAGGCAGGCTGTTGGGGGCCGGGCGGCTCGGCTCCACAGCCCTGCTCTTCTTTATAAAGGGGTACAAGCTACCTTTGGTGGGCAGGAGGCCGGCGGTGGTGGTGAAGATTACATGAGTTACTATGTGAGCTACTTAGAACGAGGATACATTTATTTCTTAATACATTTAAGCTTAGTTCATGTAAGTAAAACCACGACTGTTAGTTCCAGGCATCATTACGTCGGTCTTGGCTGAGCCCCACTCCCACCTTTTTTTCGTTTTTTGTCTTTTGTTTCAATAGACTTTTTTTTTTTTTTCATTATTAAAGGATTTTACTTTATTTTTCATGAATAGAAACATTTTAGAAACCTGAAATCCCACCAAAATGCCATGGAGACCTCTGGACTGAGTCAGGTCATTTGATGAGCCTCTGAGCCCTGGTCTGACTCAGAAGCCCACATTTTCTGAATTGTTGCAGGACCTGCCCGACGTGCAAGAGCTCATCACTCAAGTGAGGTCGGAAAAGTGCTCTCTGCAAGCAGCCGCCATCCTGGGTGAGCCTGCCTGTCCCTGCGGGGCTGCCCGCCCAGATTCCCTGCCCCGCTCCCCGGCCAGTCCCACACGGCCTGCCCTCTGGACAGGGCTGCTTGGTTCCCGTGTGTGAGCTGATCTTGTGTCCTGCAACATAGGTGACCTCGGACTTGTCCTAACATTTTCTCACCTGTAATGTTGTCCCCACCCCCTTTTCCCATCCTGGCCCCTTGGTTGTTCTGTCTGGCCTGATTGCCCTGCCTAGAACCTGCAGTACAGCCAGCATGCATCTCTTGTTCCTGATTTCTTCCTGCCTTTACTTCTGCAGAAGGGTTTCCAGAACCACTGTTAGACCCTCCCCTCGTCCTCACACTCCTCCTGTGGGCGGCGGTTGTTGACTGTCCTCTGTTGTAGCAGAGTAGGGAACCGGGAGGGGGAGGGGAGGGGGATCCCTTCCCCAGTGCTGGCTGCTGGCCCTCTCGGAATGTAGAATCCTGGGCTGGCACCAGACACAGGAGAGGCCTCGCCCGTGACTGTAGGGTGTTGAGTCCTGTGCTTACAGAATCCCTGTGGATTTTCAGATACAAGTGACTCCCACCAAACAGAGGTGGCCTCCCAGGTCAATGACAATAAGGTGAGTCTGGGCTGTGGCTTCCCAGGGAGGAGGCAGAGGGTCAGAAACTGCCAGGGGTAAACTCAGCCCACTGCTGTCAGTGGGTGCTGACTCACAGCGACGGGACAGGGTAGAGGAGAGGTGGCCCAGAGGGCATCCAAGGCCTTAGAGCTGTAGGGACAGCCTGCCTCATCTCTGTCCTGTGGAGCATGTGGTGAGTTTGAACTTTGGTTAATAGCCTGATGCTTAATTCCCTGGGCCACCAGGGCTCCTTTTGTTGACAGACTTGAGGAGCCTTAACTTCTAAGCAAATCTCCCTTATTTGCCCCCTCCCCTTGAAGTTCTGGAAACTGCCCATGTAAAGCTCTCTCAGTGACTAGATTGCCCTCAGTGAGCAAGGTGAAGGACCTATGGCTGGGCAGAGGAACCTCCAGGGTGAGGAGGTCCACCATGGGAGCCCAACCTCTCAGACCCTCCCTGCGTCCCTGACTGACTTAGCAAACGGGCGGACATGGGAGGGGCTGGTGAGGCTGGAGGGCAAAGCGGTGAAGCTCGGTGAGCACACAGGGGCAGCCCTCACTGATTAATGCCGGCCTCCTCCCTCTGATTCGCCTCCAGCCTCTGGTGGAGCGGTTTGAGACATTCTGCCTGGACCCTTCTCTCGTCACCAAGCAAGCCAGACTGGTGCACTTCCCGCCGGGCTTCCAGCCCATCCCCTGCAAGCCCTTGTTCTTTGACCTTGCCCTCAACCACGTGGCGTTCCCACCTCTCGAGGACAAGTTGGAGCAGAAGGCCAAGAGCGGCCTCACCGGCTACATCAAGGGCATCTTCGGGTTCCGGAGCTAACTAGGCTCTTCCCTGGGGGTGTGGGGCCCAGTGATCGAGCGAGCCTGACCCCGGCCAGTGCCGTGATATTAAACCCCAGTCTGCACTGGCGGGGCCGGGGACTGGACGCCTGCAGCCCCACGTTCCTATGTCCCTTGTGTTTGTGCGCTTACACCCTTCACCCTGGCTCCCAGGCCTTCCTCCTGCGATGCCATGTGCAGGTTCCAACCCGCCAGGGAGGGGCCATGGTGGGCTTGGCTCCCTCTGTTCACCCTCGTCCCTGGGGTCGGAGCAGAGCTGTGCTTCATCAGTGCCCTGGAGTGGACAGTGGTGCATCCTTGCTGTGGGGCAGCTGGTGACCTCAGGGCCCCTGAGACGTTTGTCCACAGCTGTGAGCTTTGGTCCTCGTCTCCAGAGTGACACTCGGCTCCCCCTCGCCTCCAAGGGCAAGATCAAGAACAGAGCTCTATTTTTAAAAGAACTGTGTTGTACTCAGAAGTGATTAAACCAAATCATATATGAAAAGGCAAAGATGATGGCTATTTGCCCCGTTTACATGACCACACCCACACATCTGGCCTCAGCCCTCCGGGGCCCTCGAGCAGCCCTCTGAGGTCGGGTCCTGGCAGCCTGGTCGGTGGGCGCTGCAGGCACATGCCCAAGGTGGTGTTTGTGGATGCTGTTAGGCTTGGACCAGGCGCCTTCCTTATATCATCAATATCAGAAGTGTCTACAGCAATGTCAGAAAGCGAGGAATAAAAGTGATTTGAACATCGGGTGTCCCCGAGCCCTCTGAATCCCCCTGGACCCCAGACCTGCCCCTGGAGGCAGGGTAAGCACCATGTTGGGACGGGTGCCCCGGATGGAAACCCTGAGGGGCGAGCCGGTGCCCGGGGTTCTCGGCACGCTGCAGAAAGGGGTTGGCAGCATCGGGAAGGCACTCAGCTGACTTTCTCATTCATTGCAGGGGGAGGTGATCATGGTTGGGGGCGGAGTGGGGGTGCCTGGAGTGCAGGTGTGTCCAGGTCGACTCCCCCAGGACCCACTTCTGATTCACAGGCCTCAGAGGTGGAGTCTTTTCTTTGAGACAAAGCTGTTACCATCTGTGCCCTCCAGTCCCCACTCCCAGTGACCCCTTGGGCCCCCAGGGTGTCCTAGGCCATCACCTTCACAGGGGTAGATGCCTGGTCATCCCCACCCAGCCTGGAGCCACTGAGCACTCCATCAGCTTTCGCTGTGTGACTCCTGAGAAGAAGGTGCCCACAGTGACCGAGGGTCGAGGGCCTGAGGTTGGAGCCACATGGCTCAGGTCAGTACCCAGTGGCTGGAGAGGGCATGGCAGGCCTCCTTGTCCTCTCCTTGCCAGCCTCGTCCTCTAGCCCTGACCTGAGACCTTTCCTGGCCTTGCCCACAGAGTCCCAGCAGTAAATCAAGCCAGACCAGGCACCAACCAAGTTGATGCCCGCTCACCCACCTTGCCGTAGTGCCATCAGAGAACTGCCCCTGTACATTGCTGGGGCTCCCTCTACTCGAGTAGAGACTAGCTCTCTGCCTCATCTTTCTCCTGCAGAGCGGGGGGTGGCTTTGAACTGCTCTAGAGCTGCCCCATGGGGTCCTGAGGCCGCAGCAGCATGCAGGGAGAACTGGAGGAGCAGCCAGGGCTGCCCCCCCTCTCCCTGGAGCTCCGGCTCCTCCGAGGTTCCTGCTCCCACAGAATGGGCTGCTGCCAGCATGACTGACGGCGCGGGTGGCAGTGGTTAGTGTTAAGTGCAGGATTACGTGAGGAGACGGACCTGGCAGGGACGTGGTTTCCGAGAGCTCCCCCACCTGTGCACAGCAGCCCTGGACACGAACCAGGCTGTGTCATGGGCGTCGGAGTGACCCAGGCTTGAGCCCGGCGCTGGTGTTACTGGCCTCCAGCAGCCACGCGGCCTTCCCTCGACGCAGAAGCTTCACAAATGGGGGTGCACTTTGCTTCCAGAGGGTCTTTCCTCATTTTCAGGCCCGAGCCCCTCCTCCAGGAGGAACCCTGTGAGAGCCAGTGGCCCCAGGCAGGCAGCCCTGTGAGGGCTTCCCGTCTCCCTCCCTGAGTCAGCGGTTCTAAGCCACCACCCCGTGAAGAAAGACACCTTCTACCCCCGTGGAGAGTTACAGCTTCAAAAATTCGGTCTGGTCGACCCTGTCCAGAGAGTCAAGTCGCTGTGGGTTGGCCTCCACTCAGTGGTGTGAGTTTGGTTCCATTTTTGTTTAGTTTGGGTTTTTGGTCAATTGAGAAGGCACAGTGTGGCTTAGCTTGTCTGGCTTTAAACCCTGTGGGTGATGTTCTGTTTTAAAGGCTCCTAGAGAGACTTCAGGCGGCTGGCCCCACCCGCAAGCTGCTCTGTCTCTGGCTTCTAGCTCTCCTGGACTGTTTTGATGTAATGTCTCCTTTCCAGTTTTCCTTTAAATCAAGTGAGAATTCCTGGTTTTTCCGAAGCGAAGTGCTGCCTGGGGACAACTGAGGTGACAGCTGTGTGTGCAGCAGGGTCCCCAGGCCCCCGGTGGCCTTGACCTCTGCTCTGCCTGGCTGCTGTCAGCTCTGGGACAGTACGAATCTTGTGCACTGGGGACACGATTCCTTACACCGAAACACTAATTGATGAGTGTCCGCAGCCCTGCAGGGTAGGAAAATACCCAAAGATAGCAAAGATATGTGTTGGTCTCTCTCTTTAAAAGACGTTTGTTGCTACAGAGGAGAGGGAAACCAGATTCGACTGGGAAATTTATCGATGTTCCAAAGCAGGGAGAATAGATGGGGGCTGTCGGAGTCCTGACACCACAGTGGAAAAATGCAGCCTGTTGGGAGGGAGGGAAGGAAGGGGACAAGTACACATTTTGGGGGGGCGGGGGGAGGAAGGTGCCTCTAGTGAGGAGATCGTGGTTTCAGACGCGCTCTGTCCCAGCCTGGTGCTCCACGTGGTGAGCTGGTGCTCGGATGAGTCATACAGGTTACAGAAGATGCCATCTTGGACCCCAGCCTGCCGGCATTCCCGGGGGAACCCTGGGTCTGGTCTGTCAGGGGCAGCTTTGTCTTCGATTTGCTTTTTTTCCCCCTGGGACAATTCAGCTGAGGTCTGCGAGGTGCTGGTGCCGGACCCTCAGGGAAGTCCCCCAGGCAGTCAGGGGCCACTCGCTGTACGGGAAAGAGGCTCCGATACTCCAATACGGAGGACCAAACTCACACATTAACCGCCCCCACACACAGAAGCACCCATGCCCACCCTCCACGCCTCCTGGGGAGCCCCTGCCAGGTTAGGACCACCCCTGTGGCAAAGTCCTGCTTTCTCCTCTGCAGCCTCCACCAGCCGGCCAACCCCCTACCCAGGCCCCCGGGGTCCCCGAGGCCAGCCTGCCCCGCGGCAGCCTGCAAGACGGTACAAAACAAAGGGCCACGGCTGTCTCGCAGAGCGGCTGGTGGCTCACGGTGACCCTGCAGGACAGGGCAGCTAGAACCAAGCCCCCTTGCTGCCCCCCCAGGGTTTCTGAGGCTGTCAGTCTCCACAGAAGCAGACTGCCTCAATGTTCACCCTCAGAGCCACTGCAGATCTGAACCAACGACTTACTGGTTAGCTGCCAGGTGCTTAAACCTGTGCCACCAGGGCTCTAACGCCCTGGGCCAAGGAGTTCCCAGACGGACAGCTGAGCTGCCCAGGACCCGCGGATCCCCCCACCCCGCCGCCCTCCAGCCTCTCCCTCCCCTCCCCTGACAGCATCCTGTTTCTGCCCTGTCCTGCCCTCCGGACTTCACTGAGACAACGGGGAGCGCCCTGAGCTGCTGCTTTGTGTTGGGCAGCCTGGCCCGCCCTCCCCTTCAGGTTCCAATCTCCTAAAGGGGTGGGGGGGGGGGGCAGGCTTCCCCAGCGAGGGCACTGCTGTCTTGTGATGGTGGCATCTCTGGTCAGCCGTGGGTTTCTCCGTCAGCGCCCAGAATGAGTGAGGGGAGCCGGCTGCAGACTCCTGAGCGTATGGATAGCTGGCACAGTGGCAGCAGTGGGGGCTGGGCGGCGCGGGCAGCACCGGCCTAGTCACCACAGCTCCAGAGGAGGAGCCCTGCAGCCAGCCCGGCCTGCCCACCCAGCTAGACTTGGCGTCCAGAGAGTGGCTCAGGCGGGGCAGGCTCTCTGCTTGAGCGGCTTTCTCTGGGGGCCACCCTACACAAGTTGAGAGGATTCATCGGCACCGTTTTCTTTCTGAGCCACAGTCCCGCTCGGCTCTTATCAGGCCTCATGGACAGCCAGAGAGACTCCTCCAGGCCGCCCTGCAGATTCCAGCGCCGCAACCTCTTATTTCTCCACCCCGGAGGGTGGAAGGGTGGCACCCCTGGGCCCCCAGCCTTTGGGCCCAGGAACCAATTACCAGCTTGGCTCCAAGAGTCTGGAGGCAGGGCTTTTGTACAAACAGCAATTTCCTGTGGTGGCAGAGTTGTCCTAACCGGGGAGTGGAGTGGGGGGCAGGCACATATGGGAGCCTAGCAGGTTACAGCTCCCAGGGCAACGTCCCCTTTGCCACCCTCTGCCTTGGCAGGAAGGAGGCTGTCCAGAAGCCCTGGAGCGGGAAGAGGGTGGGCTTATAGGAACTTGATCCCTGGCATCCTTTCCAGGTTGCCACCCTGGGATAGCCTGACTGGTATAGAGCCCTGACCTGGGAGCCTGACCCCACTTTGATCAGGCCCATGAGCTGTGGCACCCTAGATGAGGGGCAGTAAGTCAACGCCCAGCCTCCTAGTGAGCAGGGCAGGGCCCCTGGTGGCTTGGTTCACTAAGGATGGGCCACACCAAGAACGCAGAGTCCTGGGCCCCGCCTTGTCTGAAGGGAGGGCAACAGGGCCCGGCTGAGGCCCATAAAGACTCGGCAGTCAGCTGAGCGGCCTTACTGTATGAGCCCCACGTGCAAGTCCCAGCCGTGACCTGTCCGTTTGTCCTTGTTGGGTCTCAGCCCATCGATTCCAACCCAGAGCACAGCAACGAAGTACTGCCCGGTCCTGCGCCAGCCTCACCGAGGTTCCTGTGCCCGCGCCCATGGCTGCAGCCGCTGTATCCGCCCGTCTCCCTGTCTGCCCGTCTCCTCAAGTGCCTTCCTCACTCTCGCTGCCCCTCACTTACCTCAGAACCGTCCCCCCATCACATGTCCAAACTGTGTAAGCTGAAGTCTCACCGTCCTGGCTCTGAGAAGCGAGGCATTCTGGTTGTCTTCTTCCCAGACAGGCTGGTCTGCCCTTCTGCCAGCCCAAGGACTTTCAGTAGTCTTCCCCGTCACTGTTCAACTTTCACCTACGTCTGACGTGCTGCAAGACACCTTATCTTCTCGTGAAAAACAACCAACGCTGCCATCAGGCCGTGCCGCCTCACGGCGACCTGTGAGTTTCCGAGACTGTCTCTGTTCACAGGGGTAGAGAGCCCTTCCCCCCGTGGAGCGGGTGGTGGTTCTGACAGCTGACCCTGCAGGTCGCAGCCCCATGCTTAACCTTAAGCTCAGGCCTGCTGTTTTTTGGTTGCCTCATGAAAAAAGTAAAACGTGGGAAGTGAATTTCAAAAATAAGTATGTAACTCAATTGTACCCACCATCACATTTCGACCTGGAACTAACCGATAGGCAGAATCATATCTCACAATCTTCTCTGCACCCAAGGTTTGCCTTCAAAACCTGCTGTGCATCTGCCACGTGTCACAGCCGGTCGTGGGCCGGCCGAGTCCCCGGCCCAGCTGTCACAGCCCCGCGGGACGGTCAGCCCTGCCCTGGCCTCCGAGACCAGAGGCTCTTCTCCCTCACGGGAAGGGCCTCAAGGAGATGGACTGGCGTGGCTGCCATCTGGGCCCTGGCACAGGAACCGTTGTGAGGATGGTGCAGGAGTGGGCAGGGTTTCGTTCTCTCGGGTGCTAGCTGCGCCTGCCGCGTCACTGTGGGTGGGAACTGACTCGTTTACAATGAAAGCCTTTACCCAGACCTTTTTCCAGAGGGTGAGAAGCCAAAGGGGAAGCAGGATAGCCAGGCCTCGTTGTGCCTGGCCTTTTTCTCTGTGATTCTTGGAGCCAGGGCACTGCCCTGTGAGCAGAGGTAGCTACCTGAGGTGCCCAGCCACTCAGAGACCCAGGCGTGGCTGCCCGCTGCCTGCCAGCCTAGTCTGGGGAGCGGTCAGGCCGGATTCAATGCGGCATTGGACAGTGGCACCTGGAATCCAGGTTTGGTTTTGTTCCCGTGAATCAGCCGTGGTCTCTTGGGCGTGAGGCCCCCACGGTGCCCTGCGGCTTCCGGAAGGACTTGCATGGGGAGGAGACCCAGCTGCAATGCTCCTGTCCACAGCCCTCTGCCAGCTCCGCAGGGCCTCCCCTGGGGAGCCAGGGCAGCAGCCCACCGAGTGACACCCGGTCTCAGCTCCCCGGGGCACGGCCGGCACCTCCCAGTCCCAAAGATGGAGGCGCCTGAGCTGGTTCCTCTCTTGGCTCCTGGAGCCACAGTCATTTACAAGAGGGTCCTTTCTGAGAGCAGCTGGTAGCAGGTGTGCTCCTCGTGGGTAGAAGAAAATTGTCACCAGGAACAAAGTGCCCGGGGTGGTCGACGGAGTCTGAGCCTCCTTTCATCTCCGGCTCTGCCTTGTTCTTCAAAGCCCCTTCCTTGGTCGCTGGCCTACCCTCGACACCAGAACGGCTTGGTCTCCAGGGTGAAGTCCAGGTTTCTCTGCCTGCGATGAGTGGGTGGGTTCCCCTGACTGCTCAGTCCTTCAGACTTCATCAAAGCCCGCCAGGGGCCATGTCCACGGCCTGTGGCCTGAGAGGACACAGGCAGCCCAGGCATATTGGCTTCTGAGTGGGCTCGGTCACCAAGCTAGCAGCTGCTAGGGGTCCTGCAGGTGGGGGGCCCTCTGGAGCTGGTCCGAGAGCCTGAGGTTCCTCACCCTTCCTGTAGAAGCACCTCTAGGTGAGCTGGCCCCAGGGAGCCCAGCAGGCCGTGCCTGGCTTTTGTAAGGTACTTTGGGCCATTTTTCTTGGGGGTAGGGGGCAGGAGGAGCGTCTGCTGGTTCTATCATCATCAGTGAGAAAACAGGGCAGAGAACCCGGTGCTGTGAGCAGGGAGCTGGCTTGGCGCCCGCCCAGGACCGCCAAACACCACCTCACCTCTCCCGGCTTGGGTGGGGGCCAGCTGGATTGCTGGATCTCCCTGTGGAGTGGGTAGGGGAGGGGAAGGGAACATGCATCAACCCTGAGCCTCTGCCTCTTTCCGGGGTCCTTGGGGACTCAGCTGGTTCATGGTGGGGCCTGCACATGTCCCTCTGTCTGGGGCCCTGCCCCTCCAGGCCAGCTGTTTCCCCCTCTGGGTGTGATCTCTGGGTGTGTGCGTGTAACAAGTCTGGACCTTCCCCGGGAGATGGCAGCCTGGCCGCCCCGCCTCTGGGCGCTGCCCTTTCCTCCCAAACTGGTTAGGCGGGGTGGGTGGTGGGCGCCTGGGTGCATGCGCGGCAGCTCCGGGTTCCCGCTCACCTGCCCAGGAGCCTCCCAGAAACTGCCTGGCTCCCGCGCCCCACCTCACCAGAGCGAGCTACCCCACCAGCAGGACAGGACCCACACGCCGCTGCCTGCTGCCTGCTGCCCACGCCGGCCGAGCCCAGCCTGAGCCGGCACCGACTGCACCACCATGTTCAAGGGACTGAGCAAGGGCTCCCAAGGAAAGGGGTCCCCCAAGGGCTCCCCAGCCAAGGGTGCCCCAGCCAAGGGCTCCCCGAAGAGCTCCCCCAGCAAGCACAGCCGGTGAGTGGAGCTGGGCAGGGGCGGCTGGGGTGGAGTGGTACCTGGTCTCCAGCCACCTGGAGGACCAGCCCAGTGCTGGCATTTGGTGTCCCAAGGCCAAAAGACCCAAGGGCAGTGGTGGGTCCCCATCCCTGGAGCTGCTGGCTCAGGAGGCAGGAAACGGAGTCTGGGGCCTCCGGGTGCCGCCGCTCGGGGTGAGGTGCTGGACAGGGCCTGGGTGGACTTTGACTCTGGAGGCACTGGGAAGCCGTGTGCCGGGCTCCCTCCTCAAGGCACGCCCCCTGGGACTGGCTTGACCTGGGGGGAAGACGTAGGGGCCTGGGTGCAGAGTGGGCCCAGAGAAGCTGAGCAGGAGGACCCAGGGGCAGAGAGGCAGGGGCTGTACTGCCCTCTGCCTGGGCCTCCTCCCGGCCACCTCCCCTGACCCCACCCCCACCCCAAGTGCAGCTTTCCCCAGAATGTCGTCCTGAGGGAGTTGTGCAGAGTTGGGGTTACTGCATGGCTGGGTGCATGCATGACAGTGGGTGCTATGATATGGGGGGTGGGGCACCCTCAGAGACTCCTTTGCCTCCCCCTCCTGCTCTCCCCAAGGGCCCAGGGCCAGCTCTCTGTAGGGCCCATGAGCTGCTTGACTGCTAGAAGCAGGAACCGGGGTTCCTGGGTCCTCCTACCCACCTACCCACCCCCACCAACCTGGGATACTTGCCAAGTGTTTCTCCCACCCACTGGGCTCCAGCGCCCCTGGTAGGGTGGAGGAGCCTGGGGTCAGAGATGAAAGGCTGGACCAGGGGTGTAGGGGGCCCATTACCCTGATAGCGATCAGGGTGGCGGCACCCAGCTGGGTGTCTGACAGAGGTGGCAGCTGGAGTGACCTGCCCTCCCTCAGGCACCTGAGCCCTGTCCTGGCTGCAACAGGCCCTTCCCAGGGGGCTGGACCCAAGACTGGGCCCACAGAACCCAAAGCCCCCTCCCTAGTAGGGGGTCCTGGCTGGACTTCCTGGTTGGTCTTATCGGTCTGGGGAGTGCAGGGAGCTGCTGTGTTGGGCTGCAGCCCCTTATCGTCCCCCTTACATAGTCCACCCACTCAAGTACTTATTGAGCACCTGCCATTGTAGGCAGGAGGGGCCGCCGCACCAGGTCCCAAACTACATGTTTTCAATGCATTCGCTCTTTAATTCAAAGTAACTCTTTGCCTCAGGCATTCTTGTTAAAGACCTTCTTTATAAGTGAGGGATCCCTGGTGGCGTAGTGGTTATGCCTTGGGCTGCTAACTGCAAGGTTGGCAGTTTGAAACCACCAGCCGCTCGTTGGGAGAAACATGGGTTTAGTTCTGATAGGATTGTTCTAAGCCGGCACCGACTGGATGGCAGTGAGTTTTACAAGTGAGGAAGCAGAGACACAGAGAGGTCAAGTAACTCCTCTAAGGTCACACAGCAGGGAGGGAGAAGGCTCTACTTCTTCACTGGCTGCCCCTCTGCCTGGGTTCCAGGCCCAGCTCGGTGAAGTCTTGCAGCCCACCCCCATTCCTCAGGACAACTGTGACCCCCACAGGGAGGGGGTCTTTTCTGAACTCCTCTGGACCCAAGGCCCAGCCAGCATGCAGCCGGTGCTCTGTCAGTGTTCCAGAACAAATGCAGAGAAAAGGACCCAGGATCGAGTTCCTGTTCTCTCTCAACCACTGTGTGACAGAGACCACGCAGGTCCCCGCCTTGAACCCTAGATCTGAAAAATGCTAGGCTACTCCAACAATCTGTGGGCTCCCAAAGCCTTTGGGGGTACAGGGCTCAGGGTGCATGAGGGGTGTGCCCCTCCCCCAGGGCCCCACTGACTTGGGTGTTAGGAGTCAAGCTGGTGAGACCTTGGCTCCCTGGGGGCAGGCAGCTGGGCTGGGTGTGAAGCTCAGCACCTGGGCAGCTGGTTGAGGAGGGGGCCCCAGGGTCCTCCTGTCCACATGTTCCCTACCGATAGGATGGGGCAGGGGTGGAAGGATCCTAGCTATCTACATTCTCATGCTGGGGACTGTGCCCCCTCCCCTAGAACTCAGTGTCAGAGCCTCCTGCCAGGGAGGGACCACAGAGACACCCCCACCACCACTGCCAGCTCATGGGCCCAGACGGTGAACCTGGCTGCAGAGTGGTTGGGGCAGCGGTGGGCCAGGTGACTCACCCAGGGGCACACCTGCTGCCCCAGTGACCAGGGTGTTCTACGTCCACTTCCTCCCACCAGTGCTGCCACCCAGGAGCTGGCCCTGCTCATCTCCCGCATGCAAGCCAATGCTGACCAAGTGGAGAGGGACATCCTGGAGACCCAGAAGAGGCTGCAGCAGGTGAGACTGGAGCTGATGGCCGGCCTTTCCTAAAGAACTCTCGTGCCCACTCGTGGTGGTGGAGGCAGAATGGCAGCCACCCCTACCCTCCCATTCCACTGCTGCGCCTCAGCCTTCCTTTTCTGTCAGGCTCCCAACTTTGGGGGTCCAAGGGGCTTGAGGAGAGGTCCCCGGCCTCCCCTTGGGTCCCTGCCATCTGGGATCCCCTTAGGGTGGGGCAGCGAGGTTGTGCTGAGTACCACTCTGCCGGCCCCCCCCACCACCACCACCCCAGGACCGACAGAACAGTGTGCACAGCCAGGCCCTGCAGCACCAGCCGGCGACGGGCCGCAGCTTAAAGGAGGCCGAGATGCTGCTCAAGGACCTCTTCCTGGACGTGGACAAGGCCCGGCGCCTCAAGCACCCGCAGGCCGAGGAGATCGAGAAGGAGTGAGTGGGGGCATGCTGGAGGCGGTGGGGGCCAGAGGGGAGGAGACCCCCCAGCCCCGCCTGACGTCTCTGCTGCCCCTCGGCACCCCAGCATCAAGCAGCTGCATGAGCGAGTGACGCAGGCCTGCTCGGAGTACCGCGCCCTGTACGAGAAGATGGTGCTGCCGCCCGACGTGGAGCCCAGGGTGGACTGGGCGCGGGTGCTGGAGCAGAAGCAGGTAAGAAGCGCCCCCCACCCCCCCCCTGCACCTCCCAGCCTTGGCCTGCCCTCGGGAGCCCACCGAAGTCATTCTCCACAGCTGTCAGAAAACCTTCCGGGAAGAAACTGCCTTGGGTCTCTGTCGGGCCACAGCGAGGACCTGTGGGTGGTTTGGGTAGAGAAGGCTGTGGTTCAGGGAGGGCTTCCTGCAGGAGGAGGCCTGCGAAGAGGCGGGGAGCAGCGAGGAGAGAATATTTCAGAAAGGGGGAACGAGGGCTCCTGTGGAGGAAGGCTGGGCTGGGCTGGGTAGTGGGGTCTCTTAGGTGGGCGGTGGACATAGCCGGGTCACAGGGCACCCTGAGTGTTGCGTGGAGGGTTGCACTTTGATGCCACAACAGAAGGGGTACAGTGGTGACAATGGAGAGACAGTGGGGACCGGGGGGAGGCGGAGCAGGACGGGTACAGGTAGCTGGAGGTGTCCAGGCCAGAGGCCCTGAGGCCAGGGAGGGGGTGGGGAAGAAGGGACCTTTCAGAGGCTACAACCAGACCAACGGGCCTCAGAGAAGGCCACCAGGGTCACTGGGGAGAATGCACATCCCCAGGTGAGCGGTGGCCACTCCCATGGGGCGGGCAAGGAAGGGCGCTGTAGGAAGGGGACTCTGGGGCCCTGCACCTGGCCTGCTGAGTACCGCCGCTTCCCCCTGCAGAAGCAGGTGGGCGAGGGCCAGTACGGGCCGGGCATGGTGGAGCTGGAGCAGCAGGTGGCAGAGCACAACATCCTACAGAAGGAGATCGAGGCCTACGGGCAGCAGCTGCGGTACCTCGTGGGGCCGGTGCGTGCACTCAGCCCTGCCCCTTCCAGCCCCTTCTCCCATGGGAGCCCCAGCTGGGCCTGCTGTCCCCTTAGGTCCCGACTCTCTCTCTTTCTTTCTCTGGGACCGTTTTCTCCCTTGGCGGTGCCAGGACACGGCTGCCATCAGGAGCCAGTACCAGGACCTGCTGGTGAGCCGCGTGGAAAGGGTGGGAATACCGGGTGACAGGGAGAAGTCGGGGGGCAGGGAGTGGCCCTAAGCCAGCGTCTGTCTCTGACTGTGGCTGTGGGTGCTGTGCACTCCCCTCTTCCCTGTGGTGCAAGCGCAGAAGGCGGCCTCGTGGCGCAGCCAGAGCCTGGGCAGCCTCTACACGCACCTGCAGGGCTGCACGCGGCAGCTGAGCGCGCTGGCAGAGCAGCAGCGCCGCATCCTGCAGCAGGACTGGAGCGACCTCATGGCCGACCCCATGGGCGTGCGGCGGGAGTACGAGGTAAGGAGGTGGGGCGGGGGCGAGAGCTGCCCGATCCAGGGGTCCTGACCTGCCCCCCACCCCCCACCCACCCCCAGCATTTCAAGCAACACGAGCTGCTGAGCCAGGAGCAGAGCGTGAACCAGCTGGAGGACGACGGCGAGCGGATGCTGGAGCTGCGGCACCCGGCTGCTGGCCCCATCCAGGTGCCAGGCTGGGCACCCACCCTCCCTGCGCGCGTGGGCGGGGCGGGGATGGGGGGGCTGACCGGAGCCCCCCATACCCCGGCCAGCCAGGGCCGTGTGCTCAGAGGCTCTCCCCCGCTGCTCACAGGCTCACCAGGAGGCCCTGAAGCTGGAGTGGCAGAACTTCCTGAACCTGTGCATCTGCCAGGAGAGCCTGCTGCAGCACGTGGAGGCCTACTGCAGGGTGAGCCGCCGGGCACCGCGCAGGGCGGTGCAGCCTGCGCCCTCTGCCGTGTGTCAGAGCTGGGCTGGCCCCACGTGGTTTTCAGGGGCTGGTTTTTCGGAAGAAAGTTACCAGGCCTTTCTTCCAAGGCGCCTAGGGGCAGATTCGAACCTCCTGCCTTTTGGCTAACAACCGAGCAGGTGAACTTTCCGCGCCTTCCAAGGTTCCAACAGGAGGCAAGGCACCCCTCTCTCCACCACCCCTAAATAAAGCAGAACGGAGACGTTCTGCTCCCATAAAGAGTTACAGTCTTGGAAAAGCCACGGGGCCCGTTCTGCCCCCTTTCTGTGGAGTGGACTCCTTAGTGGGGAGTTTGGTTTCAGGAGTGTCCTTGTGACCTGGCGGAGAGGTGAACGATACACTCAAGAGAGGACCCGTCTACTGCCCCCAACACTGAGAACTGGTTCTTAGAAGCAAAAAAAGATCTTATTCTTTCTGTGCGTGAAGCACTGTTCGGCCTAGAATGGTGTGCCTCACGGTCCACGGTGCCTCATAGGGACACACAGGACAGGGCAGAACTGCCCCCATGGGGTCTCCAGTCATCGTCACGGGAGCTGAGCCTCGGCTGGTGGATTTGAACCGCTGTCCTTTTCAGCTCGCAGCCCAGCACTTACCCCCTGCCCCCCAGGGCTCCTTACAGACAGAGCCCTGAAACCGGGACGGGTCACCTGGGTGACGAGGCTACCTTGGAGGACAGCTGCATCCAGACACCTCCCTGGGGGACGGTTATGAGAAAAGACCCCAGTGCTTCACTGACCGTACATCTGGGGCTCCCCATTTTTGCTTTTTGTACATTTGGAAGAGACATCAGCCCCTGAGTCCCATCCCATTGGGTGTTGTTGGAAAGCCCTGACCTGGGACAGGTTAGCTGGGTCTGCTTGGCAGGGCTTCTCCGGTTTAGGTATAACTGGTTTGGATGGGCAGGGCTGGGATTGGCCAGCTGGAGTTTAGCAGCTCTGGGTGCGGCCTCTTTGGATCCAGGTGGTTTGGGTGGCGCCCGGGTTGGGTTCAGCCGGTTAGCAGGGGCAGCAGGCAGTGAGCTGCCCTGGGCTACACCCATACCCACCCTGTGACCTCAGTTCCAGGAAGAAGCCGGCTCGGTCAGCCAGACCCTGATGAAGCTCAACTCCAGCCTGGACACCAAGTACAGCCCTGCCCCCGGGGCCCCACCTGGCGCCCGCACAGAGCTGCTACGGCAGCTGGAGGTGAGGGGACCCCACCAGCCACCTTCCTCCTGCCTGTGCCCCACCGCCAATCTTCCGGGTTCGTGCCTCCCCTCTCAGGAGCCCACCCTTCCCGGAGTCTGTCCCCAGCTCCGTGACCAAGAAAGCCTTCCCCTCTGTCATGTCAGGGAACCCCGGGCAGCTCTGAGGTCCCTCTGGAGAACAGGGCGCTGGGCAACCCACAGCCCAGCCCCAATGCCCATGGTCCCCGTCCCCAGGGCTCCCTTTCACCTTGCTGCCCTAGAGACCCACCTTTCCTAGAGGCCCTGGCTGGGCAGGTGGGCCTGGGCGTGCTCAGAGCCTGAGCCCTGCCCCTCTGCCTGGGCTGACAGGCCGAGGAGAAGCAGCTGGCAGTGGCCGAGAGGACCGTGAAGGACCTGCAGAGGCGCAGCAAGGACGTGGCCCCCCTGCCCCTGCGCAGGAACCCGCCCCAGCAGCCCCTGCATGTGGACAGCATCTGTGACTGGGACTCAGGAGAGGTACGGGTTACCGGTACCCCAACCCTGCCCCAGCCTCACTCAATCCTGCCCTGCCCCTGCCCCAGGTGCATCCCCACCCCTGTCCAGGCCCTGCCCCAGCCTCTGCCCTGCCTTTCCCCAGTCCCACCACAGCCCTGCCCCAGTCTCTCCTTGCCCCCGCCCCCCTTTGCCTTTGCCTTCTCTGGCTCCACCCCAGTCCTACCCCAGCCCACCTTGGCCCTGGCTCTTCTGCCCAAGCCGCTGGCTGAGGCCTCTGCCCCTGCCCCTGCCCCAGGTGCAGCTGCTACGGGGAGAGCGGTACACTCTGCTGGACAACTCCGACCCGTACACCTGGGTGGTGCAGGGCCCCAGCGGGGAGACCAAGCACGCTCCAGCCGCCTGCTTCTGTGTCCCGGCGCCGGACCCTGACGCCGTGGCCAAGGCCTCCAAGTGAGCCACTCGAGGTCCCCACAGTGACACGGAGGGATATGAATCTATGGACCCCTCTCAGAGCAGTGATTGCTGGGGGAGCGGGGAGCAGGGGGTAGGTCTTCTCTGATGCCCTCGTCATTCCAGGTTGACCTCGGAGCTGCAGACCCTGAAGCAGAAACTGGCCACCGTCCAGAGCGGCTTACAGACCAGTGTGGCAGAGCCCATCCAGCCGGGCCAGCAGGGTACCAGGGCCCCCCCGGGGTGTGGGATAGAGGGAATTGGTCTACTACCGCCACTGCTGGGGGGCTACAGTGGGCAAGGGGTGGCCCTGACTTAGAGACAACATCCCCAGGTTGGCAAGATCCCTGGACTGCCCCTACCCTCTCAGCCCTATCCCACACACCTCCTCTCTGGTTATTCAGGGAGGGGCCCTGGGCAGACAGGAGCTAGGCTCTGCACCCTGACCAGCACCCTGTGCCCCTAGTTCCAACCGGCTCAGCCCCAGCCAACCCGCAGGCCCAGAAACTCCTGTCCCAACTGACCCGGCTGCACGGCGACCTGGCACAGGTAGAGAAGCAGGTGCTGGCCTGGGCACGCACCCCTCTAAGCCGCACCTTCCCCCTGGAGGACCTGCAGGGCCGGATTCACAGCCAGGAGGTGAGTACAGAGGGGGTGCAGACAAGCGGGGTCCACCCTGCTCCTCCAGGTCCAGTTCTGTGACCTCAGGCAAGCCCCACAGCCTCGCTGGGTCCCGGAATCCTCCTCCCAGACACAGATGTCACGTGCCGGCTAAGGGCCGAAGTGTGTTCAGAAGGGTGAAGAGAGCATGTGCCTGCCGCTGCAGGTTGGGCCCTGGTGAGGGCGGGAGGGGCAGGGCTCAGGCAGCGCTGGCGGAAGGAGACGCTGCCTCGTGGTGCCGTGGGATGGGAGTGCGGCAGAGCCTCCTTACCAGGACTCGTGGAGTGAATGCAGGGGACGGAGTGAAGGCCTGGCTGCTTCCCCCTAGAAGGACAGGGTGGGGCCTGACCCGGCACCAACAACAGTAGGTGGCTGAGCTCCCGACGCAGGTTTACATGGACCCCTTCCACGAAGAGGCGGAGGATCAGGGTGGATGACTTTGCCAAGGTGACCCACACACATGGTAGCCAGCAGGCCAGGATGGTACCCAGCTCCCGGGCCCTGAGCCTGAACATGGGGCCTGCCTCCGGGATGGCCTGGCCAGGCTGGAGGACTAGGCAGAGCCTGTCTCCTTCCTCTGGATGGACCAGAGACCCTGACCCCCGGCCACCTCTGCCAGGGCATGACCCACCGCCTGCAGAGCCTGGGAGCTGAGAAAGAGGTCGCTCAGCAGGAGTGTGAGGTGTTCTTGTCTACCGGGCCCGTGGGCCCCACTGCCCTGCAGCTGCCCGTGGCCCTCAACAATGTCAAGAACAAGTACAGTGACGTGCAGGCTCTGAGCAACCTCTACGGGGACAAGTGAGTGCCTGGCCAGCCTGCGGGAGGCAGCGCGGTCGGTGTGTCTGATGCTTGTCTGACCTGTCTCCTCCACCCAGAGCCAAGGCCAGCCTGGGTCTGCTTCAACAGATAAGAGACTCAGACAAGGTCATCGGGGGCTTCGAGTCCACGCTGGCGCAGGAGACCCCCATCTCCGATGGCCCAGGGGCCCTGCAGGAGAGGGTCAGGGAGCTGCAGGTGAGGCCCAGGCGGTCCTGAGGGAGACGTGTCCTGGGCAGGCGGAGGGTGGACAGGGCAGCTGCCCTAACGGCGAGGGCACATGGTACCCCTGTCCGTCCAGCACCAGCGGAGGGAGCTGCTGGAGCAGCAGGCCTGCGTGTTGGGGCTGCACCGCCAGCTGAAGGCCGCTGAGCATGCCTGCGGGGCCATGAAGAACAACTTCGGCGAGTTCTGCCAAGACCTGCCTCAGGAACAGCGCCAGGTCCGGGCCCTCACCGACCGCTACCACGCCGTCGGGGATCAGCTGGACCTGCGGTGAGTACTGGGCGGGCTGGCGACTGAGCCCCTGAGAGGCTCCATTTCCATATCAGCACCTGCTGCCCAGGGTGGTTGGTGCTGGCAGGGGCTGGCGGGAGCTTTCTGATCTGTCCCAGGAAGGGGGTGCCCCCAGCCGCCTCCCTGCACCTCTCACCTGGCTCTGCTCTGGCCTCGTCCCCCCGCAGGGAGAAGGCCGTGCAGGACATCAGCCTCACCTATCAGCAGTTCAAGAACTGCAGGGACAACCTGAGCTCCTGGCTACAGCACCTGCCCCGAAACCGTGTGAAGCCCAGCGACGGGCCCAGTCAGGTGGCCTACAAGCTGCAGGCGCAGAAGGTGAGGGCCCAGGCTGCCAGTGGTGGCCCAGGGCGGAGCCAGGTCCCTGCCCAGATTGGGGCGTCCAGCCACCTGGGCTGTCTCCCCCGCCAGCCACCTCCTGGGCTGGGCGGGTTGCCTGTTCCAAGGTGGCCCTCTGGTGGCCACGTGTCAAAAGTGCCTTGGCAGTCGGATGAGTCCACTTGGCGTTCTAGCTGAGGGCCCAGTGGAACTGCCCCTTGGGGGCTCCGAGGAGGGAATGGGAGCACATGGCCAGGGCTTCCCCCACGGAGTCACTGGGTAGATGGGAACCACTAGCCTTTCGATTAGTAGCCAAGGACCTCCTTGTTAGGCCACCAGCAAACCCATGGACTTGAGTCAATTCCGAGTCGCGTGATCCGACAGAGCAGAGTAGAACTGCCCCTTGGGGTTTCTGAGACTAAAGATTGGTGAGACCAAGCAGCCCAACACTCAACCTGCTGCATCACCAGGCCTCCTGGTTAAGCCACTCAAAAACAAAACAACCAAAACAAACCCACTGCCACCAGGTCAGCGCTGACTCACAGTGGCCCTACAGGACAGGGTAGACCTGGCCAGGGAGCCTCTGAGACTAACGCTTCAAAGCCCTGTCTTACTCCCGGGAACCCTGCTGGCATGCAGGCTACACATTGGCCTGCGATCTGAAAGGTCAGCAATTCAAAAGCACCCACCACTCTGTAGGAAGATGGGCTCTCTGCCCGTGTTAACCCGCAGGGGCAGCGCCACCCTGCCCTGCGGGGTTGCTAGGAGCTGGCATCCCATTGGATGGCAGTGAGTTTGGCTGGGGTTTTGAGCTTTCTCCCGAGGTGCGGTTGGTGGTTTCAAACTGCTGACATCAGGCTCCCTTGATAAGCCGTTGGGGCTCCTGAAAAGCTGGTTGTCCACTGAGCAAGAGTTGAACCCAGGCCCCTGCTGGGAAGTGGAAATTCTAGCCAAGAACCACCAGTGCAGGCAAGGAGCTCTTCAGAGCCCAGACCACCCACCACCCCACACACACACCCCATACACACTCCCTGAAATGTGCCCCTTTCCCCCCAGCCCACCTGTCTGGTCTGCACAGGCAGCAGGCTGGGGCTCCCAGGGCCCCCTGCATTCAGGGCCTGGCTTGGTGCAAGGGGGCTGACCCAGCAATGGTGGGCACTGCCTGATTCTCAGGCAGCCCCCAGAGTGATGGAGGGGGCCACAGGGGACAGACAACCCCTTCCATGGAGCAGTCCCAGGAGCTGGTTGGTGTCAGAGCTGGTGTCTACATCCAGACCTATGGGTAAATCAAGTAGCTGTGAAGGGCGGATATTGAAATGTCACAAGCTGAGGCCACGCTGGGTCAGAGGACAGGAGTGTGACCAGAAGTGAGGACCAGGCAGGAGAGCAATTCAGGACACACGAGTGTGCTGGGCATTCCCCCAAGGGCATCAAGTGCTTCTGTGAGGGAGGGGCCACCTCCAGGCTCTGGCTGACCCCAGAGGGTGGCTAAGGGGGGGGCTGTGTGGAGGAAATGGGTAAGAAGATGGTGCCAGACCAGTGGGGAGGGGCCCTAGGGTAGGAAGGGGTGGGTAAGAGGGGGAAGGAGAGCATCAGATGGCACAGAATGAGCTGGATTCAGTGACTGCTCAGAGGGAGGCAGAGGGGCAGCCAGGGTTCTGTCGGGGACACTCAGGAAAAGGGGTGCCTCCCCCCAAGAAGTTAGTTGGGCCTTCCTGAGTGTGAGGGGCCAAGGGGAAGTCAGGAGTTGGGGTTGGATCTGTAGGAGGAAGGTGAGGGTGGGGAGTCCCCATGGGGGTGCCAAGAGCAGGGCCCCAGGGTGGCAGGAGACTCAGAGCGTCAAGGATGGATGGCTAGGGGGCTCCTCAGAGGTACGGACGGTGAGACTCGTCCCTCGTCCTTTGGACGTGTTGTCAGGAGAGGCCAGTCCCTGGAGATGGACCTCTTGCTTGGTAACGCAGAGGGCTGGTGGAAAGGGGAAAGGCCCCTGACCAGCTGCATTGACCCTGTGGCTGCAGCAATAACACGACAGTGGTGAGCACGGCACAGGTCCCGGCGGCGTGTCCTTCTGTTCTGTGGCAGGTCACTGTGGGTCAGCCCCGACTCGATGGCACCTCACAATAACAGCAGGGAGAGAGCAGAGGGTAACACCTGGAAGAAGGCCTAGGACAGACTCCCAAGCTGTGATGGCAGATTAGAATCATCTGGAAGCTTTAAAAAACAAAAACCATGCCAGGAACCCCGCACAGACAGGCTGAATGGAGATTGCCGGGGCCAGAGAATCCGTTCACGTCTTTAAAACACTGCCCAGGTGACGGAAGACAGGCGCACCAGTTCCTTAGACCCACAGTGTCAGCCTCCCCAGAGAGCCTGTCAGAAATGCCGGTTCCCAGGCCCCGGCCCAGACCTCCTGCACCAGAAACTCAAAGCAGGCCTAGCGACCCGTGTTTTAACAAACCCTCCGGATGCTTCTGACGCAGGCTCAAGTTTGAGCGGCACCGTGCCGCTGTAGAACTCTGCGGGGCTCCTGGCAGAAGAATGGAACTCTACCAGGAGGCCGAGGGGTCAGGGAGAGGGACTGCCTGCCCGGGCCTCCCTCCGGCGTCAGGTCGAGGGGAGTTAGGGTGAGTGGTCTCCTGACTCCTGCTCCCCCCGACAGAGGCTGGTGCAGGACATCCAGGACCGAGAACAAGACAGGGTCAGGGCGTCCCGCCTCTCCGAGGATCTGCAGGCTGCTCTCCAAGTAAGCAGTTCTACTACGTCAGTTTGTTCCTCTGTCCATCCACCCTCCCTCCCTCTCCCCGCCCCCAACCCCACCCCACTGACTTCCAGCCTGCCACCCCTTCCTCCCTGCTCAGGACTACGAGCTGCACGCAGACGCCTATCGCTGCTCCCTGGAGCCCAGCCTGGCAGTGCCTGCGCCCAAGAGACCTCGGGTGGCCCCCCTGCAGGAGAGCATCCAGGAGCAGGTGAGGCGGGACCTGCGGGGCTGAGCCTCCCACCGCACGAGACCTGAAACAGGAGCTGACCCGCTCCCCCTCCCTCGCCCTTTGCCCTCCCCAGGAGAAGAGCCTGACCAAGGGCTATATCGAGGCTTCAGCTGCCAACCAGCACCAGCTGCACCAGCTGGAGTTCGCCCTAAAGATGCTGGAAAAGGTGCGGAGATGATGCCTGATCTGCTGCTGCAGTAAACGGCCGGCCCCATCATTAACCCCGGAGTCCTCCCTCTCTCCTTAGCCTGCAGCCTCCCACCCCTGGGCAGCCCCCTGCATCTCTCCTGTCCCAGAGTGAGGCTTTGGGGGTTATTACTGGGGACCACTGAGAGCCACTGGGAAGTCTCCCAGCAGGACCTGGACCTCTTGCCCAAGAGAATGAAGAAAATTCCCCACCGCCTTCAGCCTGGAGATGGGACAGCACTGAGTCTCTCTCAGTCCCTGGGAGACCAGGAACCAGAAGCTCACTTGGTGACCCACTGGAGGACTTGCCAGCCTTCCTAAGATGCTTGGCCACACTCCTGCACCCCCAGAGTGCAGTTCAGGGATGCCTAGAGGAACGGAGGGGTTTGGACGGGAGAACCTGTCCAGTCTGCACTTTTCAGCTCCAGTTCCGGACCTCACGGACATTTTCACCAAAACCCTAAGCCAACTCCCTGCTCTCCAGCCATTCTGACTCACGGTGACCTGTAGGTCAGAGCAGAACCTCCCCTTGGGGGTGGGGGGAGGCTGAGACCATAGATCTTTATGGAAGTAGACAGCCTCGTGTTCCTCCCACAGAGCAGCTGGTGGGTTCGAACTGCCGACTTTGTGGTTAGTAGCTCAGTGCTCAGCCCACTGTGCCACCTTTGGCATTCACCAGGACCTCTAAAAGCAAGCCCTGGTGCTGCAGTGGATTATGTGTTGGGCTGCTAACTGGAAGATCAGCACTTTGGAACCCCAGCTGCTCTGAGGGACAAGGTGGAGTTTTCTACTCAGTCCGGTGAAGAGTCACCGTCTCGGAAACCAGCCCAGAGGGGCAGTCCCACCTTGTCCTACAGGGTTGCCGCGAGACGGAATTGAGCGTCTCCCAATCCTGTGTCCCTGCATCTCAGGCCCCCCATAGGGGTGTCTCCCAGTGGGGAGAGGGTCTCTGATCTCAGAGGGGAGTGGAGAGATGGGGCTCACCTTTTTTTGCCTTGCCCACCCCCCTTCCGCTCTCTGCAGAAGGAGCTCAGCGAGGACATCAAGGTGACCCACGACATGAAGCAGGGCTCCGAGAGCCCGGCCCAAGCGAGGCGAGAGTCAGAGGCGCTGACGTCTCAGCTGGAAGAGGAGCGGAAGCGGGTGGCCCAGGTCCAGCAGGAACTGGACAAACAGAGGGACCGCCTGCTGCAGCTGAAGACCCAGCGGCCCCTGGAGAGGCTGGAGGAGAAGGAGGTGGTGGAGTTCTACCGGGACCCCGAGCTCGAGGCCAGCCTGGCCCAGCTCAAGTCCCAGGTGGAGAGTGAGGGCCAGCGACGAGGCGGCCTGCAGGCAGACCTCGAGTCCACGGCCCAGCAGGTGGTCCAGCTGGAGAGCAAGAAGAAGGCCATGCAGCCTCACCTGCTGACCAAGGAGGTCACCCAGATCGAGCGGGACCCCAACTTAGACAGCCAGGCGGCCCAGCTCCGCAGCCAGATCGCGCGGCTCCGGGAGGAGGACGCCGCGGTGGCTGCCCAGCTAGAGGGGCTGAAGGAGGAACTGCTGGCCCTGGAGCGGAAGGAGACAGCCGTGAAGGAGACAGTGGTGGTGAAGGAGGTGGTCAAAGTGGAGAAGGACCTGGAGATGGTCAAGGCCACCCGGGACCTGCGGCTGCAGATCGAGGCAGACACAGCTCAGAGGAGGAAGGCCGAGGAGGCCGGCGCCAAGCTCCGGGCCCGCATCGAAGAGCTGGAGCGGGTGGTCAGCTCCGTGGAGCCCAAGGTCATTGTGAAGGAGGTGAAGAAGGTGGAGCCCGCCCCGGGCCTCCTCCAGGAGGCCTCGAGGCTGAGGAGCCTGCTGGAGGAGGAGAGGCACAAGGGCCAGGCTCTGGCCCAGGAGCTGCAGGAGCTGCGCGGGAAGCGGGGCGAGCTGGAGCGGCAGAAGCCCAGGGTGGAGCTCCGGGAGCAGGTGCGGGAGGTCTTCCAGGTGGACCCAAGCACGGAGCAAGAGATCGCGCGCCTGCGGACGCAGGTGCAGGAGACAGCGGGCCGGCGGAGCCGCGTGGAGGAGGAGGTGGCACGGCTGCTGACCGAGCTGGCCGTGCTGCGGGCCCAGAAGCCCCAGGTGGAGTACCAGGAGGTGACGCGGGAGGTGGTGCGGCACGAGAACACCCCGGAGGTGCTGCGGGAGCTGGACCGGCTGAAAGCCCAGCTCAACGAGCTGGTCAACGGCGGCGGCCGGGCCCAGGAGCAGC